TTATATGAAAGCATGCTCAGGTGGTGTAGATTCAAATTTGTTGAAATCATGACCCAGGGGGGTAGGGCAGGGCCAAAATGGCCGACCAAAGTTTTACATAGAAATATATAGGAAAATTCTTTAAAAATCTTCTTCTCAAGAATGACAAAGCCATAATTCATCATATATATATGGAAGCATACTCAGGTAGTGTAGATTCAAGTTTGTTCAAATCATGACCCCCCGGGGTAGGGCGGGGCCAAAATGGCCGACCAAAGTTTTACATATAAATATATAGGAAAATTATTTAAAAATCTTCTTTTCAAGAATGACAAAGCCATTATAAATTCATCATATATATATGGAAGCATGCTCAGATAGTGTAGATTCAAGTTTGTTCAAATCGTGACCCCCGGGGGTAGGGCGGGCCAAAATGGCCGACCAAAGTTTTACATAGAAATGTATAGGAAAATTCTTTAAACATCTTCTTCTCAAGAATGACAAAGACATAATTCATCATATTTATATGAAAGCATGCTCAGGTAGTGTAGATTCAAGTTTGTTCAAATCATGACCCCCGGGGGTAGGGCAGGGCCAAAATGGCCGACCAAAGTTTTACATAGAAATATATAGGAAAATTCTTTAAACATCTTCTTCTCAAGAATGACAAAGACATAATTCATCCTATTTATATGAAAGCATGCTCAGGTGGTGTAGATTCAAATTTGTTGAAATCATGACCCAGGGGGGTAGGGCAGGGCCAAAATGGCCGACCAAAGTTTTACATAGAAATATATAGGAAAATTCTTTAAAAATCTTCTTCTCAAGAATGACAAAGCCATAATTCATCATATATATATGGAAGCATACTCAGGTAGTGTAGATTCAAGTTTGTTCAAATCATGACCCCCCGGGGTAGGGCGGGGCCAAAATGGCCGACCAAAGTTTTACATAGAAATATATGGGAAAATTATTTAAAAATCTTCTTTTCAAGAATGACAAAGCCATAATTCATCATATATATATGGAAGCATGCTCAGATAGTGTAGATTCAAGTTTGTTCAAATCGTGACCCCCGGGGGTAGGGCGGGCCAAAATGGCCGACCAAAGTTTTACATAGAATTATATAGGAAAATTCTTTAAATCTCTTCTTCTCAAGAATGAAAAAGCCATAATTCATCATATTTATATGGAAGCATGCTCAAGTAGTGTAGATTCAAATTTGTTCAAATCATGACCCCCCAAGGTAGGGCGGGGCAAAAATGGCCGACCAAAGTTTTACTTAGAAATATATAGGAAAATTCTTTAAACATCTTCTTCTCAAGAATGTCAAAGACATAATTCATCCTATTTATATGAAAGCATGCTCAGGTGGTGTAGATTCAAATTTGTTGAAATCATGACCCAGGGGGGTAGGGCAGGGCCAAAATGGCCGACCAAAGTTTTACATAGAAATATATAGGAAAATTCTTTAAAAATCTTCTTCTCAAGAATGACAAAGCCATAATTCATCATATATATATGGAAGCATACTCAGGTAGTGTAGATTCAAGTTTGTTCAAATCATGACCCCCCGGGGTAGGGCGGGGCCAAAATGGCCGACCAAAGTTTTACATAGAAATATATGGGAAAATTATTTAAAAATCTTCTTTTCAAGAATGACAAAGCCATTATAAATTCATCATATATATATGGAAGCATGCTCAGATAGTGTAGATTCAAGTTTGTTCAAATCGTGACCCCCGGGGGTAGGGCGGGCCAAAATGGCCGACCAAAGTTTTACATAGAATTATATAGGAAAATTCTTTAAATCTCTTCTTCTCAAGAATGAAAAAGCCATAATTCATCATATTTATATGGAAGCATGCTCAAGTAGTGTAGATTCAAATTTGTTCAAATCATGACCCCCCAAGGTAGGGCGGGGCAAAAATGGCCGACCAAAGTTTTTAAAGATATATATAGGAAAATTCTTTAAAAATCATTTTCTAAAAAATAGCAAATCCATGATTGGTCATGGGACTACTTTTGGATTTAAACTTTACAATAACAAGCCATTTTCTAGTTTTTCCTACCCTTAGTGCTCAGGTGAGCGATGTGGCCCATGGGCCTCTTGTTTTAAATCTTCTCAAGAACCACCAAGGAAAAAAGGAACACTTAAAGGATACCTTCTATACATAGTTTAGATTCAAGTTTGTTCAAATGATGACCCCTGGGGGTAGGATTTGGCCACAATGGGGGATAAAAGTAATAGTAAAAGTCATCATCTAAAGAACAGGAAAGCCATGACACAGCAAAGTCATTTGTTATATTGATGTTGGATCATGTTCAGTTAATGTAAAATTTAGGTCTCCCCTGTATGAACTTTCCAATACTGAACTGGTTGTGCTTTTCCTTAGTCAATGTGCTTACTGGTGAGCAATGAGTCCCATGGGCCTCTTGTTATCTTTTTCTTCAGCACCACTGCATCCATTTCATTCAACCTAGCAATCTTGAACAAAAATGGGATGTAGATTTATTTTTGCTTTGGATGGGGCATAATGGTCTATATTCTATAGATGAGTGGCCAGATAATAATTTTTGGAAGTGGATCATT